AGCTTTATACTGATGATGAATTGATAAGACACTGTACTCAAGTGCTCTGTGGAAACTGTACGAAGACTTCTTATCTTATTACATTACACATTTTGTTTTAGTAGGAGAATAGCATTCTCTTCACTCATTTATAAATGATGAACTATTCTTTTTAAAAACACCTTTTGTTCAAGGGAAATGGATATTTATGGTTAATAAAACCAGCAACTTTCACTGAAACATTCTATGCATTGGGGGCAAACAAGAATCAAGATGGTTCGATGTCATGTTCCAAAATCCATATTTACGTAGTCAGCTTCAAACAAATCCAAACAGAGACAGCTGAAAAAATAGGGAGCAGCAAATTCCGAAGCAAACCAAATTGTCATTCTGCTAGATGACTCTATTTACCACATTTCCAGGAATAAAGGAGAGTGGGGGTAGTGTTTTTGTTCTTGGTGGAAAAACAATTACAATTGGTCAGAATAGCAAATAGAACAAAGTAATATGACATATATGGATAGATATTGAAAAGATACAAATGTGCCTGAAACCACCATTTTGCGCAAAAGGATTTTCCAGACCTTCTTCAGATAATCTGAAGAAATTTCACCCCATGTTCTTGGCGCATCTCCCACAAGATGCAAGCCATTGGGCCATTCCAATAGCCAGAGACTGTCCACTCTAGATATTCTAGATGTTGTGTGCGACACTGTGGCCTTTACAATTTGCTCTAATAAATTACCTTTAAAATTCTGAAAATAAAATTCTGAGTATTCCATTTTGTAATTTTTCTTACATTTTTCTTATGTATGAAGTAAATATTAAACAATAGGTGGGTTGGGTAATTCTGACTTAATTTACCAGTGCGTGTAGAGACTTACAAGGGTTAAGGCAGATGATTCAATATCTTTGGCAATATACAGTATACATACTTGTATAAAAACTGCGGCTATGGTTGTTTTAGAAGAATCCAATACTTTACACAGTACGGTTCAGTGATTTTGACCAAGTCACCAATTATAGAACCCTAACAAATCCATCTTGTCAATAGCACTCGAGCTATTAACAAACAGCAGCTTCTGGTGTCACTGATGTAATGCAAATGACGAATTTGTCAAATCTTAGAATGCACTGTTGTTTTCAGGAAAACTCCGGGTGAATATTCGCAGTAGCTCTGTCGTAATAATGCCCAGCCAGACTCCTCATCTACCATCTTGTGTGATCTGACTCTGTTTAGTATTTTCCACTGATGCTGCTGTCTCTCTTATATCCAAGTGTGGCTGAGTACACATGTCCCCTGATGAGAGAGAGCTCTCAGCTCAATGCAGATAGAAGATTGAGAGTCAGTGGGGTGATGGCTATTTCCATAATGCTAGGGGAAAACAGAAAGTGCAAATAAGTCGTCTTACCATCACTTCCTGTCTTATCTGTCTGTATTTTCCCTCCCTGTTATTCAGCTTCTTTATAATCACCAGTGGTGTACACAAGACATGCATCATATAACAGTCCCTAAATTAGTGAGTTGCTCAAATTCTTTGAACATATTTAAACCCATCTGTGTTTGAGTCAAAAGCTCGTCCCTGCAGAGCTGCGGAAGGAATGTTTTTCCAACAAGTAAACCCTGACATGAAAGCTATCCCACGTCAACATTCTAAGAATATGCTCTGGAGCGGCGATGTGTGCTCGTGTGGTTAAGGAGCAGCTTTGGAACGGCTGTGTATCGATTGTGTTTGAGGCTGCGGGCACAGCAATGACCGAGGTCCCGTCTCTCTCTTGTCACAGCTCAGCTGCTTTTAATTAAATGGCTTGCAGTTGTGGATGTGAATGTGAAGGAACAGCAAGCGAGTCTGCGTCACATCTCCAGCCTCCTTTGCTTTCCTTGACCTTTCCTCATTTACCCCTGATGCTGCCCCTTGAGCTCTGCTTTTCAGTACTAAGGGTCTTATTTCCATTTTTCGTTTCACCTTCGTTTACCAAGCTACCTTTTCTAAATGTGTTCTATGTCTAAGAGATCAGTGTCTCACAGCTTGTGCTGTTACCTGACCTTTGTTGTGTCAACCTCACAATTGAGTTTAGCTAAGCAGGGATCATTATCGCTCTCTTGATTTGCAACAGTGGTACACATGGTCTACAGGAATGCATTTTGTATTTACAGTTTTACGTTCAATAATAATATTCATTAAACCTGCAAGAAGCAATCAAAGGGCTCTCGCACCACAGGTACAATATCTGTGAGGAGTTTGTTAAAGTGTAAGACTTGCTAAAGTATCGTTTTTTTTTTTTAGTTTCTACAAAATAATTGATTCCCACTAGGTGGCACTATAACCGACTCTGTACTTTGCTATATAGATTCGTACAGACATGGACTCTTAAAACACGTGGCAAGTTTGAACCTTATCAGACATTGCTTGGCTTAGTTATTAAGAAATTCCTGTTCATGGCAAATTTTGAATTTGATGTGCACACATAGTTTAAAAAAGTCAAAAAGCTGTGCAATTTAACATCCCATATGCCTAAAGATAAGGTTGATGGAGTTTTCAGATGAAACCTCTAGGAGGTGTTTGTAAATGTATGGTGAGCAAAAGTGGCCAATTTGAGATTTGCTAAATTAGTTGCTATTTTTTGCAAAATAGTACACTTCCAAAAAATTTTGGAACCACGGCTCAAGCTACTTATATTTAAGTCTTGATAGCCTACCCATGTGGGCCAAATTTCATTTATCTATTCGTCCTATTCCGATTCTCCTTAATACCTTGGGTGCAGACAGTTCCGGTTTTCAGAATGACTGAAAAGAAATCCACATGAATATTTGTTCGGCTCCAGGCTGTACAAACAAATTGGGGAAAGATAAGACTCGAGAAGAAACGGTCTTATTACATGTTTCCTTTAAAAGATTCTAAACGTCTTAAACTATGGATAATACTCCGCAAAGCCTGGCATCCCTCCCAACATAGCAGAATTTGCTCTGATCACTTTAGTGACTCTCTCATATCTTTAACCTAAATAAAATATGAGGATAATAAGATTAGAGAAGAATACACGCATGTCTCAAACTTACAGAAAAAAAGAAGTGTCATGCCGTAAATTATAGGATGAAAATGTAACAGCTGCCACACTGATGCACAAATAAATGTAACAGCTGATGCACAAATACGAGAATAATAACAACAATAAAGGGAACAATGCAGAGAAGTGGGACAAACATTCTTACCAAACTGATCGCTCACCACTTACTTTGGGACAATTACCACTTATTTTAGGGCAGCTGCCACTTTTACTGCCATACAAATGTTTTACCCCTACTGGTAAAATTTTCACTTCCACCACATACCAGAACCTTTCACAGTGGGCGTGTTTTTTTTAGATTGGAACATTGCGAATGACAAATGTCAAAAATGGTTGCTAGAGTACATTAATTGGTTTTTTTATACAATTTTTTTATACAATAAAACATGAAAACAGGCATCACCATAGCAAATTAGCCAACACTGGTGAATCGAGCAAATCTTTCTTGTTGGAGTTTGCTCATTCTCTATGTTTGCTTTTGGTGGATTTTTATGTGAATCCTGATAGATTTATTTATTCGTTAACATTGTTATGTGCCTTGGGTCACTTTAAAAGTTTTTGAGTATATTTGACCATATTTTATGTTTAGGAGGTGTGTGATTGCGGTTACCTGGATCTTCCGACGATTTTGAGTGCATCACTGCTGATTGGTGCAGGACAGAGTGCCACACGTACAAATCACGACGATCTGAGTTTTCTTAATAGTCTTTTTTTCCACATCGTATAAGTTATTGTTGGGCTAATGTGGTGGGGTAGACCTAAGTTTATTTTTGAATGACTGTATCGTTTTGTTAGGAAGTTTAGGGAAGTTGTGTTGTGATTTTGCGTTAATGGTCCTTTAGGGAATTTAGGGGGTTGGTTTATTTTTGTGGTGGGTTTTGTTTGTTTTTTTGGCCTTTCTCCACCTAAGCCCATTATCCTTCTATGTTAAATGTTGGTCTGCTCATCAATAAAATTGTAATTTTTTTTTTTACTCTGATTCGATTGTGTTTCATTGTAAGTTTTAAATCTCACCTACACTCTCCTCCCCTTTAAAACGAGTCGTAAGAACATAGAGTACACTGAACATCATAAGAGACATATTACCCTATGTGCTCAGCTTTCTTCCAAGCTACTTTCCTACATAAGGACCAAGTTGGTTTCATTCCAGCTGAGTAGGGATCATTACAGCATTGCTTTTATGAGCATGGTCATATACCTGGAAATCCTTCATATAGAGCTTTAATATTATAGGTACATTCTTCGATGTGTTGTGGTGGTTGCCTGTGGCCATTAAGAAGCAGAACCAAGGAGCAGGTGGGCTCTGAATGGCTCCACAGAGAGTCTTTTGCAGCTGGAACTCAAAAATATTCACTGGAGAGCTGAGAAAGATACATCAATATACATAATGAACTTGGTGTCTATGTGGAGCTGGGCACTTAATTAAACTGTCTTAAAATGGTCGCCTTGCCAATAATGGATGTTGAATAACAAAGGGCTTGTAGCACATTTATTGTTGGATTGTGATTGGGGTAGACACACATGTGCGCTTATATTCTGGACAAATTGTGTTGGACCTTGTAGCTGTGTTTTTGTATTATGGGTTAAAGGCATGTGAAATACTCTCGCACCATGAACAAAATAAAAATGCTATAAAAAAAATAGTAACTGTATTTTAGAAAATAACACAATATAAACAGCACCAATATCACATTATATCTATATCAATATTGTATGTTCTAATGTGCCCTCACAGTTTATGTGATTCTACACTTCCACATTATAGTGTGAAAGTTTCACGTTATAAGAACAGCCTACTTGCGAATGAGAGACTGGTGGAAAGATTTATTTTGATCTTGATGAAATAAACAAATTAGACATGTTTGTATATTTTTTGTAAAGTAGGCTAGAAGCTACAAAGCCATTTTGGTTTATTGTAGAATGACTAGTTAAATACAAATTTATTTAAAATTTGGCTTGTCCAGAATTTGAAGCTGGGACCTCTCGCACCTGATGTGAGAATCATACCCCTAGACCAACAAGCCATTGTTTATAAGCCACACTTTTCTAATTTCAAATGATGCACCTTTTCCGCCAGTTTTCAGTCAAAACTTTTAGCACATGCGAGTCAGATCTCTGACAGATCACATAACCACCAGCAGAGCCGTAAGGAGCTTTTAATAACTAGAAAGTTTACTTGAAAAGCAGCCTTTGAATAAACACTTAGTGATGATATTTCATGTATAATGTTTTTTTGTGATCATGAAAAATTGCTGACACTATGATTATAACATTAACTCATAAACTTAAAATTGTGATTACTGGCAGCCCCACAACCAGTCCTGATTCACTTTGCAGCAAATTTGAACCACTAATGAAAATTGTTTTGCACAAAAAGCCCTGCACAATGATCTGTTCACTGACTAAACTAATGTTGATAAGTTAAGCTGTTGGTGGTACATTTGGATTGCTGTGAGATTCCTAATTCCTGCTGAGAGTTACAGATTTTGCTTGTTCTCTAACTTGCTTTGAACGAAAGGTGGTCTACACCCTGTACAAATCACAAGTATATCTCAGCCACAGTAGCTCAAGATTGACTCTTAAGGGTCTACAATTTGCATTAAGCATTTTGGACTGCGCGATCTGAAGGAAACACACACAAGCATGGGGAGAACACGCAAACTCCCCCTAGGAAGGCTTGCTTGAATCGAGCTATGGTGGGTAGTGGGTAGCAAGCTCGACCCATACGGCACCATGGGCTCAAATTGGGACGTTCCGGGCTTAAGAGGAGAGCAGAGGAGGTAAAACAGAGGCTCATCTCTGGAGATTACCTTTTGTATAAATGCTAATGCCATATGTGTCTGAATATTGGATTCTGATTGGCTGGCAGGTGTTGATTAATTTCATTTAACTGCACAGGTTCCTTCAGTTCGTTCACTTATATCAATCTGCCTTTACCCATAATTCACAGCTTTGGGGGATAGTGAGACGGCAGCAGCAAACTTTTCCAGAAACGCTGAACTAGGATTACTGGAGTATTTTCATAGACACATACCATCATTTATTACACAAAAGCCGGATTTGTGGAGCACAGCTTTTGGCCTCTAAGATGGACTGACAGACACAAAATCAGTCGCACAAGTCACTGCGCATGCTTCTAAATTTAATTGCCGTCCTGTTGAAAAGCCTCCAATAAAGTTTGTCACACAAACCTTTAACCCCTAAACGATTGTTGCCCAGTAATTGCCATCATCTCAATCTGCCTCCTAGCTGCATCATTTCCTACCCGTCTCCACTGTTCCCAAAACTAAATTTCTCTTCTCAAACGCTTCAGCTGGCCTTGATCTGCTGAACTTCTAACTTCTACATGCAGCACTCCCCACTGCTACACAGTGCCACCCATTGGAATAGCAATACGTTTCCCCTCACAGAAAGGCACTCTGATTATTCCAGGGGGCTCTCTTCTTCAAGCATGTACTTATCTCTTACTCAAAGAAAAGTCCATATTCTTTACTGTGTTTTCCATTCCAAAAGTCTCCAACTGTTATTTTTGCAAATACAGCACTTACTTGGACTTTCATGAAGCAAAATAAAAGGAGTCGTTTCAATGGTGAAAGTGTTCTTTCAGCTGCTAAGCCAGTGCTGTGCAGTGTGTTACAACAGTGTGCCAAGAAGCTCGCTCTGTGTATTCACTCTGTTGCCTCTTGATTGCAGGCCACAGCAAATGGGTGCTCACCAAAAATCCACTAATGGCTGCCCGGAGGTAGTAACTGGCTGTGAAAGCTTCAGCGCTTTATTTGCGGTTTTTCAAGTATGCTTCTTAGTGAACCTTTCCACACTTGGGAAAAGAAATGTGTAAATGTGTTCATCCATTCCTCTTGTGTTAGTTTGTGTGAATTTATACAGCATAAGACGAGCCCCCAGGTTCCTGTTAAGAAACATATTTGCAGAATAATCCTGAAAAATAGCACATCATCGGCTTTTTAAAGGGCTTTGGAAACTCAGCAGGAAAATAAAGTGCATAAGCGCTATACAGTAGCAGCTGACAAAGTGAACTTTTACTCTATATAAGACATGTGTATAAGTTTTCTTTTGTATTAATTTAGTACGCTGAGATACTTTGTGATAATTACAACAAAATCACTGTGAATTTAATTATTTTAGTTAAAACTAAGGCACTGTTTGAAATTGACCTTTTGATTGGAAATATGCTGCTTTTCCATTCATTCCTTTTATTTATTTATGCTACATGTTGCCAATAGTAATTATAGTATATTGTTGCAAATATAGTGTTCTGTTCATGGTGAAATGCACATTATAATGTTTGAAACCAAAATTTGAAACCAAAATTTAACGAAAAATGAAAAGTAATTTCAGGAATTTGTTCCAATTTCACACCACACCAATGTTTGTTGAAATTTTGCTTGTCATTACTGAACAGTGTTTGGCAATTTACTTCAGAAATGTTATCAAATTACTGATTATGTCTTTGTCAAGTAATTGGTTACATTACTAGTTAGATTTCTAGTTACTTTATACTTTACCCCCCCTGCTCCAGAACTTTCACCCTCCTCTATTACTTTCATACTCGCTGATTGGTTATTCACACAAGAAGCAGTTCATAGATTGGACAGAAATATGATTCCCTTCCCCAGTGTTTCACTGAAAGCCAAGCACCTACTCCAGACTAGACTGACACAGACAAAGCTGTATTATAACAGCCAATTATACATTTGTGCTTTCTCTCAGCAACTCTGTAATGCAGAGGTAACAACTAGTTACTTGGACAGTAACTATAATCTAATTAACATTTTGTTAATTAAAAGCGTTTAAATACTGCGTTTCTTAAAAAGTTATCTAGTTACAGTAACTAATAACTAAGTAATGCGTTACTGCCCAACAATTTTTCTGATTGCCAAACAAAGCTTCAAGCACCACTAATTTGGTTAACAGTTACAGTTGATGGGTGCCAATGAAGGGACGCAAGACTGATGTAGGAGCACTTAACGCAGTCTGGAGGAAAGTGTGCACATGGTAGCAGGTGCTGACTCTGCATGTGTGAGTGTGTTTGTTTGAGGGATCCAGCTGACCACTGATTCTTTCACAGCCCTCAAGCTTTATACGAAGCTGTTCGCTTGCCTTTAAGATGAATGTTCTTTCATTATGAAAATGACCACAGCTTCCCCTGGGAATTTAGTGTGTTTGTTTTAATCTTGTGCATTTTTCGAAGAGGTTTTGGAGTGATTAACTGAACTTCATCTCTGGTGTGGTTTTAACAGTTCTTCAGACAAACACTCTTTGTTCATTTGAATAATATCACATGTTGCTATTCATATTATTTTGTTGTATTCAGAATATTCTGCCCATTGTATTGTCAGTATGAATATGTGTCTGACTTCTTCCCCACTGCTTGTTTTTGTCTAGAGAAACGAGTATTGGTTCTTGTACCTGTGCACTAGTTGGGAAAGAGTTTTGTTTTCTGCCAAGTAGCTGCCATGCCGTGGATGGTTCACAGTGGAAGCATTTTTCCAAAGCAGTCATTCTGTTTTTGATGCCAAGCGTGCTTTTCACACACGTTTCCAGGTGGCCTTTCATGTGGCAACTCCATTTGAAAAAATGGGCATCAAACTTTTGGTAGAGTTCTGTGTGTTGGTCTTGTGTGGATGAAGACCAGTATAGACTGTATAAAACAATGAATTCTAAAGAGTAAATTTGAGGCTAAATGTTGGTCTATGGGTGGTGTGTTAGTCCTGAATTTTTGGGAGCAGATAATTAGGGGACTCTAGATTTCCATTATTGAATTTTCCCATGATTTCTTTCATTACTAAAGTTATTTAGTAACAAAAAATGGCAAGCAATTACTACATGTTCTGGGTACAATAAAATAGTTAACCTATGCATTTCCTTCCATTGGTAATAATTGATATTGCGATGGTCTTGAGAAAAAGCTCAATTACAATATCAAATAATCAATTAGTCTATGCCCTTGAGGATGGACACCAATGTGAAAGTCCACAGTTTTTCACCATCCCCAGTTGAAATTACACCATGTCTCTGTTTAATGCCAGTTTATTAATTTTAGTCAATTATCCACTACTTGAACAAGGCATAGATTAAAATCTTAATAAAATCAAAATATATTAGTCAACACAGTTTGAACCCTGTCTGTAGTGTTTTTCAGCTGCAAATATTGCCATTTAATATGGAGACTGTGGAATCAATCAGCCAGTTGATTAATTTATCTCAGGTGACCTGAGGACTTCTTCTACCCCTCGTTTCAGATTTTTATGTTGCAGTTTTTTATCCTTTCAGTATCGAAACGTTTTTATTTATCCACTAAATCAAAGGTATTTTGCTGGCTGTGTCTGAACCATATGGCTGTGACTGCAGGGGGTTTGTCCACTTGCCACATTGCAATCATCCACTTATGGAAACTAATTGGGTATCTATGCCATAAATCTGACTTCCTTGCAAATTGTTTTTCTCTGTTTTAGAAAAGTTCCATTTTGTTTCGCCAAGGGTTAAGGAATAAGGAAGAATGAATTCTTTCTCTGTGAAAGATGGATTCGAATCATTATTACAATTGAATGAAAAAAGATCAAAAGTCCTATTTGAAGATATTATAAAGCCTCAAAAAGTGATTGTGAAACATGTCAACGGTTTAATAACGTACCTACATGTAATAGAAGTTATATCTCTGACTGAACAAATGAGCAAGACATCCATTCATTTGGAGACCGAGTGTATTTCATTCTCGTTGCAGTGAAGTTATTGGGCTGTTATGGTCTTTCTGTAGGATGAATTGGAATATAATGGTAGGGGAGAATGAATCCATTAATTATATTTGACAGTAAAAGCCTGTCTAAGGCTGCTTTATCAGAGTGATTCAATATCTGAATTCTGCTTAGATTTTTTTATCATGCTATATTTCATTTCAGAAACTTAGTTTAACCAGTACCATTAACCAGTACCCCTTTCAAATTTTCACGTCCAGACCAGGTCACGACGTAGCTGAATATGTAGTAGTTTGCTCATATATATTTAA